CAGAAATAAAAAGGGAGAAAAACAACAGAAACTAAAGCAACTCAAAAAAAATCATCAGATCCTACAAAAGTCTATACTCAAAAAAACTGGAAAACCTGGATGAAATGGATGATTTTCTACATAGATACCAGGTACCAAAGTTAAATCAGGATCAGATAAATCATCTAAAACCCCCAAGGAAATAGAAGCACTCAACCAAAAAATAGTCTCTCAACCAAAAAAACAAACAAACAAACAAAAAAACAAAAAAACAGCCCAGGGGCAGGTGGTTTTAGTGCAGAATTCTATCAGACTGTCAAATACCAATACCAATCCAATACCAATACCAAGATCTAATACCAATTCTCTTCAAACTATTCTACAAAATAGAAACAGAAGGAACACTATCCAAATCTATCAAGCCACAGTTACACTGACACCTAGACCACTAAGAGACCCAACAAAGAAAGAGAACTACAGAACAATTTCCCTTATGAATATCGATGCAAAAATACTCAACAAATTTCTCCCAAACCAAATCCAAGAACACATCAAAACAATGATTCACCATGATCAAGTAGGCTTCATCCTGCAGGGATGCAGGGATGGTTCCATATTCAGAAATCAATCAATGTAATCCACTATATTAACAAACTCAAAGGAAAAAAAACACATGATCATTTCATTGGATGCGAAAAAAGCTTTTGACAAAATACAACACCCATTCATGTTAAAAGTATGGGAGAGATCAGGAATTCAGGGCCCATACCTAAATATAATAAAAGCAATATACAGCAAGCCAGTAGCCAACATCAAACTAAATGGAGAGAAACTCAAAGCAATCTCATTAAAATCAGGGACTAGACAAGGGTGTCCACTCTCTCCCTACCTATCCAACATAGTACCCAAAGATCTAGCCAGAGCAATTAGACAAAAGGAGGTCAAAGGGATACAAATAGAAAGAAAGGAAGTCAAGATATCACTTTTTGCAGATGATATGACAGTATGTATAAGCTACCCCAAAAATTCTACCAGAGAGCTCCTATACCTGATAAACAACTTTAGCAAAGTGGCTGTATATAAAATCAACTCAAATGAATCAATGGTCTTCCTCTACTCAAAGGACAAAAAGGTTGAGAAAAAAATTTTAAAAAACAACATCCTTCACAATAGTCACAAATAATACAAAATACCTCGGTGTGAATCTAACCAAGCAAGCAAAAGATCTGTATGACAAGAGCTTCAAGTCCCTGAAGAAAGAAATGGAAGAAGATCTCAGAAGATGGAAAGATCTCCCATGCTCATGGATTGGCAGGATTAATATAGTAAGAATGGCTATCTTGCCAAAAACAATCTACAGATTCAATGCAATCCTCATAAAAATTCCAACTCAATTCTTCATAGAGTTAGAAAGAGCAATGTTCAAATTCATTTGGAATAACAAAAAACCCAGGATAGCAAAAACAATAAAAGAACTACTGGAGGGATCACCATCCCTGACCTCAAGCTGTATTACAGAGCAGTAGTGATAAAAACTGCATGGTACTGTTACAGAGACAGGCAAGTAGATCAATGGAATAGAATGGAAGGCCCAGAAATGAACCCATACACCTATGGTCACTTGATCTTTGACAAAAGAGCTAAAACTGTCCAGTGGAAAAGACAGCATTTTCAACAAATGGTGCTGGTTCAACTGGAGGTCAGCATGTAGAAGAATGCAAATCGAACCGTACTTATCTCCTTGTACAAAGCTCAAGTCCAAGTAGATCAAGGACCTCCACATAAAACCAGATACGCTGAATCTAACAGACAAGTAAGTGGGGAAGACCTTGAATATTTGGGCACAGGGGAAACTTCCTGAACAGAACACCAATGGCTTATGCTTTAAGAGCAACAATCAACAAATGGGATCTCATAAAATTGCAAAGCTTCTGTAAAGCAAAGGACACAGTCAATAGGACAAAACAACAACCCACAAATTGGGAAAAGATATTTACCAACCCTACATCCGATAGAGGGCTAATATCCAAAATACACAAGGGACTCAAGAAGGTAGACTCCAGAGAACCAAAACACTAAATAGAGAATTCTCAACCAAAGAATCTCAAATGGCTGAGAAGCACCTAAAGAAATGTTCAACATTCTTTGTCATCAGGGAAATGCAAATCAAAATGACCCTGAGATTCCACCTCCTCACACTAATCAGAATGGCTAAGATTAAAAAAAAGCAGGTGACAGCAGATTTTGGTGAGGATGTGGAGAAAGAGGGACACTCCTCCATTACAGATGAGACTGCAAGCTAGTAAAACCACTTTGGAAATCAGTCTGGTGGTTCCTCAGAAAATTGGACATAGCACTACCTGAGGACCCAGCGGTAGCTCCAAAAGATGCTCCAGCATATAAAAAGGACACACACTCCACTGTGTTCACAGCAGCCTTATCTATAACAGCCAGAAGCTGGAAACAACCCAGGTGTCCCTCAACAGAAGAATGGACACAGAAAATATGGTACATTTACAAAATGGAGTACTACACAGCAATTAAAAGCAATGGTTTCATGAAATTCACAGGTAAATGGATGGAACTAGAAAATATCATCCTGAGTGAGGTAACTCAGACACAAAAGAAGACACATGGTATGCACTCACTGATAAGTGGATATGAGCCCAAAAGCTCACAAAGGCCGTGACACAACCCACAGACCATACAGAGCTCAGAGGGAAGAAAGACCAGGGTGTGGATGCTTCAGTCCTGCACTGAGGGGAGAACAGGATGACTGTGGAAAGTGGAAGGAAAAGGGGACCAGGGAGGGAGAAGAGAGGGAGATGACAGTATCAGGAACTGGAGGAGATGTGAGAGAGGAAGGTCAGGAAATCGAACAAAAATAGGTAGCAGGGGGATGAGGAACTGGGGATAGCCACTGGAGGGTCCCAGATACCAGAGAAATGTGAGGCTCCCAGGACCCAGTGGGGATGACTTTAGCCAAAATGCACAGAGAAGGAGGATATAGAGCCTGTTGAGACCACCTCTATTAGACACAGCTCCTGGTCGAGCGATGGTGCCACCCACCCATCTCAAACCTAGAAATGTTCCTGTCCAAAGGAAGAACATGGACAAAAATATGGACCAGAGACTGAAGGAAAGGCCAACCTGGGGCGACCCCACCTGGTCATCATATCTGCAGACACCAAACCCAACATTGTTGCCATGGTCAAGAAGCGCTTGTTGACAGGAACCTAGTGTGTGGGTTCCTTGGGAGGTCTGGCCAGCAACTGACCAATGCGGATGTGGATGTTTGGAGCCAACCATCAGACTGAGCTCAGGGATCTTGGTGGGGAAGCTGGCAGAAGAGCTGGAGGAGCGGAGGGGGATTGCAACCCCATTGGGAAAACAACATAGGCTGGCCAGATCACCCAGTTCTCCCACCTACCAAGGAGTGTACAAGGAGGGAGCCATGGCTCCAGATACATACAGACCAGACGTTCACATCCACCATCAGACCAGACGTTCACACTCACCATCAGACCAGATGTTCACATCCACCATCAGACCAGACCTTCACATCCACCATCAGACCAGACGTTCACATCCACCATCAGACCAGACGTTCACATCCACCATCAGACCAGACGTTCACATCCACCGTCCTATCTGGGAGATTCTCCATCCAGCCTGCACAGGTCAACACGGGTCACGACAAGCTCTCAGTCATCCTGTAATGCAAGATGGATTTAGTCTAACTTCAAAAATCCTCACATTGTAGAACACTCCCAACACTATTCCAATGCTGGAAGGTTTTTCTGACACTCAAGGAAGAAGACATGCTCCACTCACAAATCCTTTTCCTGTTACTGATATGGACAGTCCACTACGTGAGTAACACAGATATTTTTTAGAACTGTGTGGTGCTACAAACCTTTAATCCAAGAGTTGAGGATGTTCACGCAGGAAGGCAGCAAGGCCTGTGCAGCCACAGAGTGGGCTGAAGGCAACCTGAGTCAACATAAGAGACCCTGTCATAAATATATTTTTTTGAAAGCCCTACCTGGACTGCCTGGTTGGGACTCATTTGTTACGAAGAATGTCAGCTGTGAACAAGGCTGTATCAGACCCTGAAGTAAGACACGGGTTTACAGAAACCTTGGCATATGGAAATGCAAATACTGAATATTTAAAAAGACAATAGATCGTTAAAGACAGGAGCACCAGCCATGTGCAAGCGGATAAGGGAGACAACCAATATTGTTCTGACATGCGTCACACTAGTATCATTGGTTACTAGCATAACATGGTAGCATTGCTGGGCAGTGGAGGCGCACACCTTTAATCCCAGCACTTGGGAGGCAGCGGCAGGCTGATTTCTAAGTTCGAGGCCAGCCTGGTCTACAGAGTGAGTTCCAAGACAGCCAGGGATGCACAGAGAAATCCTGTCTCGGAAAAAAAATGGTAGCATAAAATTATCCAAAGATCCTGATGTCCTCTACAGTTTTCTGTGAGCACCAAACACCCAACTGATGAACACATACATAGAAGCAAAACACTCATGCACATAAAAGAAATTTAGTAAATTAAAAATACAGACCCTCATAACACTTATATGTACCTATGAATAAATATAGAAATACATAGAAATATGACAGAAAAATGTCTGCAGCCAAAACTGTAACTTTGCAATTAAAAGAATCAAAGAACTCAAACACAGGAGAGAAGTTGCAAGATTGTAGACAAGAAGTCTCAGTATTATCTCAGTACAAACTCTGAGCTACAGATTCAACAAATGTCCAATAAAGAGTCTAACGATTTCTGCAGCGAACGATAGAAAACCGACGACGAAAGGTCATCATGAAGGGAAACATGAACAACACAGACTGAATAAACAGCACAGTGACACCACCTGACTTCAACACTTCCCCTACCCCTGCAATAAAGACTGCGCCGTCTGAGACAGAACACGGACACCCGCAGAACGTGAGAGAACACTTAGAACACAACCACAGTTAATGCTCGGTCAATTCTGACACCTGAGGAGGGAACCACAGCGGGTCTGTCTTCCTAACACACGGGACTGGACCACGGTGGCATCTACATGCGACTGCGTGGACAGCACAGACGTGATGACACCGGCGCAGAGTTAACTGCAGACGGGTCCTGCTCCTGCACGTCAGGTGCCAAGTGCGGAACTTCTAGACGACGCGGGGAAGCCAGAGCTCTGCGGCTCAGCACTGACTCCCCCGACACTGAGAGCCGCGCATGCGCGCGCGCATAGAATGACCTGAACAGTTTCCAAGCAACGTCCCAGGCTGTGCGCAGGCGCAGTCATGGGAACTGTGTCGTGACGAGGTCTCGCTTCCGCCTACGAGGTGCAGGGACCCTCGGTAACCTCAGGTGAACAAACGCGATCACACCGGGCGCCGCGTCCCGCCGCCGGGTCCCGCACCCCGGGACAACGCCACACGGGCTCCCGCGATCCTCCCCGCGTGGGACGGCGGCCCCGCTCACCATGGCGCGGAGTCCCAGCCCGCCCGCTCTCCTCAAGGCTCCCAGCAGGGGTTGAAAAAGCAGCACACGGAACCACGAGAGACTCCCTCAGATTCAGTCAAACCTGCAGCATCGTGGACCGGAAGTGCCCGCCTCCCTTCTGCCTGGCAGTCCAGGCTCTGATTGGTTAATGAACCTGGATGACAGGCGCTGACTCCCAGAGACAGGGTGGTTTGCAGGGACACAGCACAGTGGTTTCCAGCCCTGTTGTCCACTCCAGACACTGAACTTACCCAGGCCTGTGGAGATTGGCATGGCAGCTGAACTTGTGCCTGGACTCAACATCATACCTGCAATTCCCCTTCACACTGTAGGAACTTCCCCATCTTCCTCCTGGGCAGGGTGTTAGGTCGTACACCCAGGGATATGAGGTAGCTATTTTATCAAAGCAGAGGCTATCTGCCAGCTTCTCCCTGCATGCCTCAGTCTCTGCTGCTTACAGGGTTGGCTGGCATGCCCTGCCCCTACCCTGAACTTGTCCAGCCCTGCTTCCCACAGTGGCCCTTTCCTCTATAATTCAACCATTTAGATTGCCTGGGGTGGGGGATGTGTTTTTATTTTTCATCTACCTGTTACATTCCTGATCTCTTGGTCTGCCTGTGAGAGGCTATTGGTGGAGGCTAGTTGGAGCATAAGACCCGGGCATACTGGAGATCCCAAAACCTTGTGATGACCACCAAGAACAGCAGCAGCAGTGGAGTGGAGTCCCCTAGAGCCTAGAGTGCTACAGAGGGCAGAGCTGGAGATGTGACCCAAGACCTTTGGAGGAGCCCAGAAGATGATGTGTCTACACTGGAACTGACATTGGGTGTGAAGTTGAGGTTGCCTTGGAGACCCCAATATGTTAGCGATGCCAGAGCCATGGAATACCTCCTGCCAGGGAAAGACGCTAATGGGAAGTGGAACCAGCCCCAGAAAAAGAACGGTGTTTTAGTCACCAAAGCTGGAAGGAGTTAGAGAGCATATATGAATGTGCAGAGTTTGGGGTTTCCCCAGCTGACTGTTGGTCTGGCTGTGGTCCAGTGTTTCCTCGCTGTGACATTTTTGGAATGGTAATCTGCATCCTGTGATGTTGGAAGTATATGATTTCCTTTATGATTTGGATTTTACAGGTGATTACAGTTAAGAGATTGCATAAATCTCAGAAGAGACTTTGAACTTTGGACTTTTAAACATTGTTGAGACTATGATATACTATGGGGACTTTTGAAGTTGGACTAAATATATTTGTACTGTGCTATGGCTATGATGGCCCCTGTAGACTTGTGTGTTTAAACAAGGATATGGGGGCCAGGGAATGGAATGTAGTAGTTTGAATATGCTTGGCCCATGGGGATTGGCACAACTCAGAGGTGTGTCAATGTTGGAGTAGGTATGGCCTTCTTGGAAGATGTGTGCCACTTGTGGGGCGGATGTTGACACTCCTACGGTCAAGCTCCATCCAATGTGGAAGACAGCCTCCTCATGGCTGCCTAGGGAAGACAGCCTGTCCTGTCCTAGATGCAGTCAGATCAAGATTTAGAGCTCTTAGCTGCTTCAACACCTTGTCTGCCTGCTAACTGCCATGCTTCCCACCATGATGATAATGGACTGACCTCTGAAAATGCAAGCCATCCCCA